GAAAAACAAAGACGAATCCCAGATTAAGTACCAAGCCGGATTTTAGTGTTCCGACATCGTAGATCTAGGTTTTGAGGGATTTCAATCTTATTAAAAAAAATGGAAGAGAGAGAAGAGAAATGGAAGTGAGGGATTTCAATTTTGATGGGGTTTTCAGATAACAAAATGAATGGCGAGGAAGGAGAAGCAGCCTCGGTTGTATCGGAGGAAGAAGAGAGATGGTGATGGAAGAGAGAGAGCCATTCGCAATTGAGGAGAGAGAGTGGGTAAAAGGAGATCAGGGGAGAAAAAGAAAGGCTGATGGTAGTGGGTTTTAGTGGGCTAAACGAGATTAGGGGAGGATTATGGACCAGTTAAGAAGATGGGACCATGGCCCAAAATAGAATGAGGCTAAAAATAAGGGACTACCACTAATGGCAAATGGGGCAAAATATAAGGGATGGAGGGAGTACTACTTAGTACTCACTCCTTTGTATAAAGTGGATTATTTTGGGAGCTTGTCGTGATGGGATTTTTGCCTCTATTGAAGATTTTCCACATTAAATACCGTGGGTCACTCTTTACTATTTGTCTTGCCTTTATTTATTTGTATTATTATTTTTTTACTCGTATTATCAATCTCTACCTCTTTTATCTAATTCCGCTGAGCACTCACTAATCCTAATATAAACCTATACAACTAGCTAGAATATATGATTAATTTTGTGGAAAATTCGAAAATAATATTGGTTACCGTTAATTATTCCAATCCAAGAGAGTATTGTACTCAATCTATTAAGAAACAACTCTAGGGTCGTGCACAACCAGCAGTCGTTCTCCGCCAACAATTTTCTTATTATGGTTCTGTTTTTCCTTTCTCAATCTAAGCCTTTTCTCTTTCTACTTTCTTTATTGGGGTTTTAGTTTATGTTGTTGCACTTTGAGTTTTAAGTTGTGTTTTTACTAATTGTGGCTATTAGTAATTCTTTAATTTCAATAGGCTCCATCAGGGTGCTTTGAGTTAGAATTTGCAAGTGATTATTTTGTGTGCTTCTCGCTAGTGGTTGTTTCAAAAGGCACTACTAGAAATAGGCCGATTTCCGACGGACTGTTTCCGACGGACACTTAATTCCGTCAGAAACGTCAGAAGTTCCGATGGATTTTCATTCCGACGGAATTAAAATCTGTTGAAATATAAGGGTTTCCGACGGAATATTCCGTTGGAAAATTACTTTTCCGGCGGAATTATAATCTGTCGGAATATTAATATTTCCGACGGAATTAAAACCCGTTGGAAGATACCGACGGAATATTCCGTCGAAAATAAAGTAATTATCAAAAAAAAAAAAACCCTAAAAAGACGTTCCCCTAATCCCCTTCCTCTTTCTCTTCTAATGCGCCTCTTCCTCCCTCATTTCTCTTTCTCTCTCCTCTCCTCCCTCATTTCTCTGTGCGCCTCTCTCTCCTCCCTTATTTCTCTTTCTCTCTCCTCTCTTTCCTCTTCTATTTCCCCTTCTCTTTCCATCAACGAACCACCTTGTTTTTAATTCGATCTCCCTCCTCTCATGCTAGTTCGAAAATCACAAAAATTCAATGTTTTTTATCTCCTTTTTTTGGGCGAAATTCATAAAATAAGGGTTTCGATCTCGGCGCATTCATCATCAACAACAACAACGACGCATTCATCAACAACTACGACCAACAAACATCAACAACAACGGTGTAAGCGTTTTCGATCTCGGCTTTTGCGCGAAAGTTTCATATTTTTGTAGATCTAGTTTAAATTTAAGTTAGATTGTAGATTAACTTAGTTGTTTATATAATTGTAATTTTGATAATAAATTTGATTAGATAATTGTATTTTCTTTAATTTTAAATGTATAATTGTCGGTTTTTTTTTTCATGAAATTCTAATTAAATATGTAAATCTACTGGTTTTGATTTGTTTGTGTTAAATTTTTCGGTTTTTTTGGCTTAATTTCGTAATTTGTTTCGATTTTTTACGAATATAGTGAGTGATGTTTTCGTGTTTTTATTTTTATTTTTTGGGTGAACGGTGGTGGAGCTGAAGTGGTGGGGGCTTGTGGTGAGTGGCGTTGGTTAAGGGGAGGGTGGGTGGTCTGCGTGGGTCAGTGTGTGGGGGGATGGGTGGTGGTCCTGGTCTGTGGGGTGGGTGGTGTAGGGTGGGTGTTGGTGGGTGAGGTAGGTTGTCTTCGTTGGTGGGGGTGGTCTTGGGTGGGTGTGGTGGTGGGTGGGTGTGGGTGGTCTGGGCAGGTGGGTGGGGGTGGGGGGCTTTTCTTTTTCTTTTTTTTTTATTGAATTTTCCGGCAGATTCGAATTTCGTCGGAAATTTCCGACGGACTTTCCGGTACCGGAAAACTTATTCCGGCGAATTATTTTCGTCGGAAATAACTTTTCCGACGGAATTCCGTCGGAAGCCACTGTTCCGACGGAAATTCCGACGGAATTGGCCGTTTTTCCTACAAAGGGTGTTTCGACAACCCGTTCTGACGGAAATTCCTGTTTTCTAGTAGTGGGGGGCTCTGAGTTTTTTGTTATGTTTAGCTAGCTTGTAAATCCTAGTTGTTCTTTCCGTTTGATATCTACCCCGTCGGTTTTTCGGGTTTTATTGAGGGGTGGTATTTTGAAATGGATATGTGTCTTGCTTTTGTTGAGTTCCATCTTCCTGATGGGTTTAATGACAAGCATGTTGTTCGTATCCTTGATTCCTTAGCTTGTCCTGGTGATGTTTTGGTCTATTCTAAAGTTTCCAAGGAAGAAGGTAATTCCTTGCTCCGAGAACGCAAGTTTAAACTTGCTTTTTCCAAGTATGATTTAGCGAGCAAATTGCTTTGTTTTAGTTTACCATTAACTCTGGAGGCTTATGCTATATGTTTACATCTTTAGCCTTTGCTTTGAATCTCAACCTGGCTGCATGTGCCCTGAAATTACAGGACTTTGATAAAGTAATTAGGTTATGTTCATTTGTGTTAAGGTATGATACCTATCATACCAAATGCTTGTTTAGGAGAGCTTTAGCTTTTAAGGGATTAGGCGATCTAAGTTATGCCAAATTGGACCTATGAAAGGCAGTTTATTATGATTCAAAAATTTTGGAAGTGATGAATGAACTACAGGAGGTTGAAAGGCTTTTAGGTTGTGCCTCTTCTGTAGATCACTCTTTAGGTAGCTCAAAGACTACACCATTTGTTGAAGCTGCTTCTTTAGACAAGCAAGGAGTTTGTGATATGGAGGTCATTCCGGAAGCGTTGCCTAGTGGGGATAACATGGAATGTGATGTGGATTGTCCTGTTACTAGGGTTTCTCCGATGGTGTCGGATGAAAAAGTTTCTAATAGTTTGGAAAGTGAGTCTATTCCGAGGGTTAATCCAGTGAGATAATGATTTGCATCAGCACCAGTTCCAATCCCGCGGATGTTTTGGTTCATCTCTTCGGATTACTTCCTCTAATTTGCAGCGTCTTATGCAGGTGATGTGCTCAGTTTTTTTCATTCAAGGTCTATGTTAGTTGTGACGATTCGGGTTATCCTGAGTAAAACTCAAATCTTGACAGAGGTCCCCCTAGGTGAAAAATCCGGGGAAGCAAAGACCTCTATTCCTTCAGTTCCTCCTTTTAATGGTTTAAAGCACCAAGCGGTTCCCTCTCAAAAGGTCTTGTATGCTTCTTCTCGGTCATCTACAGTTGATGCAGCTGCAATCGGGTTTCAGAAGAGTTGGTCAAGGTCCCGACAGTTCAAGTTAGTCCTCCAACAGAATCTGCTCTCGGGGGTTTGTAGGCAGTCTTCAAAACTCAAGGCTTAGGATTTCGTCTCGCGTGAATCGCCAACGGACTATTTCTCATTCTCGTCTTCGGGCATCAGGTAAGATATGTTGTGAAAGGGTTTCTGAAGGTTACAAGATGGATTGTGTGAACACAAAGTGACGTCCGGCTTCGTCTCTTGATCTGGAGTCCAACAAGTTCGCTCGTGAGAAGCATGCTCGCATTGGTCCTTCTTGGGGTTTTGTTTTTTAATGTAGTTGTCGTGTGTGTGGTGTCGTGTTGTTTTTCGTTGATAGTTCTCTTTGTCAAAAAAAAAATAAAATACATTTGGTTAAAGATAAATTATTATAGACATTTTTATAATTAAGATTTCATGACTTGCTACAAAACCTCCTATCTACCTTACGTGTCAAAAGACCATTAGCCGGTATTGTTGACCTTGAAATGCAAGAATATACCTTAGACTTGGCCTTTTCTTACTTAAAACTTTTTTCCTTCTCTTAAACGTCTACTATCTTTCTTCTTCGGTCTTCGATATTGATTGGGACCACACATATATACCAAGTTAAAATATTGTAATATGACTTAAAAGAAATCAAAAGATCAACATTGAATTCTGCCTCGTCTTATACCTTAATTATTTTTCTAATTAATCTTGATTTCACATTAGCCAATTAATTTATTTAATTAAACAAAATAATATCTTGTGTACAGTAAGAACGTGAAAGGTTCAGATTTTGATACCACACGTACGTATGCAATGTTACATCTCTCTAGTTATAAGTTGACACTCCAACAAGTTACTTCTTACTTTATTAGTGCATCTCCTATTGAAATAAATTTTATGGTAATTCGTAAAGTGTCTTATGTTGTGTAGGGATGGAATCAGAATAAAAATTTGTAAAATTATTGTAATCAAAATAAGAATTTGTAAAGTTAATGTGAAAATCATATTTGGTAAGACTGCTGATTGTTGTTATAAGTGTATCATTTAATATATCTTTTATCATATCAAACTAGAACCTATATTCAAAAAATATATAATTAAACTAATAATAAAAACTACTCCGTACATAGTAAATTTCCTAAATTTTAGTTCCTAGTTTATAATGATGTTCGTACAATTTTCAAAATTGCATCATCAGCTAACAATAAATATAAAGCTAATTAGAACATTAAAAGTAGAAATTGTATAATGCGTGAGGAGTAACAATAAATGAAACATCAAAATGAAATGACAATTAACTTAAATTTGTATATCTCATATATATTTATCCGAAAATGGGATAAATTATTCAAAAACAAAATAATGATGTGATTAAAGAATGAACTTGTCTTCTTCTCAAAGACCTACTAGAGAGAAAAAAAAAGGAAAAATGAAAAGAAAAAAAAAAGTATATGAACATTTTTTTACCTCATTCTTATCCTTTTCCTAAGAACTACTATGATAAGTAATATACTAAACCAAAAGATAAAGGCCAAAAAAATAAAAAATAAAAGTTTAGCTAAACACAAAGCAACATATTATCAAGGTAATAATATTTGTCTATTTGCATAACTGCCTCCTTTTGTTGCCTTTCTATTGTTGTTGCATGCTACTACTTGTAGTGACGTTATTAGCATTGTTCCCACTAGTAGTGGCATCACCAGCGGCATTATTGTTTTCGGCCGGGGCACGTGCCCCACCGATGATCGACGAGATGGCAGCCGCCAGTGCAGCTGTGAAATTCGGGTCGTTGGCGATGGCAGCAGTGGCTGCGTTCAGAGTGTCAGCGAAAGCCGGGTTTTGGTTAGGGTGTTGCAAGTGTGAAGCGTCCAACCCTTGGGGAGACGTAGTTTGTAGACCAGAAAATTTTGATTGGTTGTTATTATTATTAGAATTTAGCAAAGCTTGACCAAATATTTGAGGAATTGAGCCCAAAAAATTGGGCCCCACTTGGGAAGTTTGAGGTTGAAATGGTACTTGGAAAGGGCCATTTGTTTGAGGAACTGATTGCCTCATTTGAAGAGGGTTTGGTGAATGGGTTAAGTCCAACGTAACAGTTGGAAAAGGCGCTGAAGCTGATATTGTAGCCATACTTGATGAGCATGGAAGTATGGTCCTAGCTAGGAAATTCGGGTTCATAAACCCGTCCCCACTCGGCATTGATCCCGAGAGGAGCATACTCGCCGCTGCTGAGGTTGTCGAGGCCATCGCCATCGCTGCTGGTGGTAGTGGGTGGTTGTGGTTCCCTTCATATGTTGTGATCAGAATTGACCTGTCCTCCGCACACCTTTGAACCTACAATAAAATTGTTGACATGCTGATTATTAGTCTTTTATTTTCACCTTTTTATGTTAGAAAATGTAATAATTTCTAACAATGTACATGTTCTTAGTCATTATGGATTTGTTAACTTAGGTATGACCATATTGACCATCTAAGAAATAAAATTAGCAACAAACAAAAGTAATTTATAGAGAACTATTAACTCTTGCAATTTGGAAATTAAGATGAGTACATACTTGTTTTCGGACGGGACAACCAACAGCCATTGTGCACCGATAATAAGCTCTAGGGCAAGGGTTACCCTTCGCCATCTTTTGTCCATACTTTCGCCATTGACATCCATCGCTTATCTGCATTAATATCCAAACATATATTAGAATTCGTAACATTTTATTTGATCATGTGAAATTATCAAACTTCATACGTGCATGAATACTAATAAACTAACCATAGGTGCTTCAGATCGAGCTCGAACTGAGACACGAGCTTTCCTCATTGTAGCCTCGGCTGCTGCTTGATCCACAGGAGGACTAGTAGGCTTGACAACATTGTTCATCAACTTAGGCACCTTATTATGCCCCCACCCTTGCGCGTCCGATCCTTCAGGACTTTCTTCCCTTATTCTCTTCCCATTATCATAATTAGCAAGGTTCAACTCCTTATTGTTAGCCCTTGATGCTACTTCCATGGAGTTTAACGGTGAGCCAGAGCGATCGACCGTCCTCTCGTCATCCGACAAGGTTTGAGACGTTCGCTCATCGGTCTCAGTATTTGCACCCGAAACCAAGTCTAAGAATTGACGTGGTACCATTGGCTTCTCCTCAGCCTTTCCTTGCATAATTGCCTATATATATGAAATAAAATCATATCATAAGTACAAATTGCAAAAAATGTAATAATAATAGAGAATACGCATAACACGTAACCAAAAACTATATCAAATGTCCAGAGTAACGTATTATTCTGTAATCGATGGTTGTTGTACGTACCTCATGTTGCGAATTTTCGCCCTTTCGAAGGTTTTGTTGTTGTTGCTGCTGTTGCATTACAGTTACGAGGTGCATTTGAAGAGTATTGTAATTGTTGCTCACTTGATTTAACATGGATTTCAACTTTTGATTTTCAGTATTCATACGTTGTAGCTCAGCTTGAAGGACTACTAGCTGATAATACATAAATATAAGATATTAATGAATAAAGATGAAAAAATAATTAATGGTTGTCAAATTAAATTAAGTTAAATTTCTTATTACATTATATTAATTACCTCATTTTTGTTTCTTTTGTCTTCTGCATCCGAAGAAGTACCATCATCTACCGTAGATTGATTGCTTCCCGTATTAGTGGTGAGAAGATGTAAACCAGTCTATATATTGAAATAAAAATAAATAAATATGTATAAACTAAAATTTATCATTTAATAAATTATATACAAATTAACCCAATACACACGATTTCTCAAACTAAAATTTTACTAGACTATATCGAAATATTTACTATTATTATGATCAACTTAATTTAATGACATATTCGATTCCCATATTAGTTTTATAATTACAACAAAAATTAAGCATATAATTTTAATTTTATTAACTAAGACTAAAACTCTTTCATTCTTAATTAAGAAAGTACTACTGTATATAATAGACTTAACCATCGTAATTCACCTAATTTTACAAAAAAAAAAAAAAAGTTTCTCCTTTTATTACAAATTTCTACTTTGTACTAATAAAATGAAAAATAATAATAATAATAAATAATAAATACACTGTCATAACAAAGAATAGGATCTTAAGTACTCCGTATGTCTTAAGGTTTTTATTTTATTTTTTTTATTTATACATATTTATTTATTTTTGTGAAATTATCACCTTCGTAAAGGTAGAACAACATATTTTTTTTTGAGAGAAAGTAGAACAATATTTAGTTAGACAACAAGGGAGAAGATTATAAAACATTTTATCAAGAATAAAAGATTAGGTAGGATCTGAAAATAGCAATAAATGAGGAAAATAAAATAAAAAGAGAGAAAATTACATTAACATTATTATTATCGAGAAGAGGTGCGGAATCAGGAAGAGCAGGAGTAGCAGTAGCAGTAGCAGATTGATGATGATCACGAGAACAAGTCTCCTCTTTCACACGATTTAGAGGTGCACCAGAACAAGATGTAGACCTATGTACTGTATTATTATTATTACTCTTCTTATCAGAGAAGAAATCTACTTCACCAACAACTTTCTTCTTATTGTTTTGATCATCATATTCTTCATCATGATCGTCTTCGGATGATCGACGGTGGAGGTTCATTGGAAATTCTAGGCTTTGGAACACCTGATTATTATTCTTGTTGTTGTTGATGGTATGTTTTTTGTGATGAAGGTGGTGGTGGTGGTGGTGGAGAAGATCGGACGGTGATGATGATGATGATTCAAGAGCAAGACCCCATCCTCTGCCGTCCATTTACGAGATGATTTTTGGATTTTTAATTTTATTTTATTTTATTTTTTGGAGAGGAAAAATGAAAATGAAAATGAAAAATGAAAAATGAAAGAAATGGGTTTGGGTTTATAAGAGAGACAAGAGAAAGAGAGGAGAAGAAGAAATGTTTGGAAGTCTCAAGTCTTTTAACTGAAGAGCCTATAAAAAGGGTTTGGAATGAAGACCAATGACTTTTTTTTTTTTTCCTTTCTTTCTTATTTATTATTTTATTTATATTTATTTTCATTTTCTTTGTTTTGAAAAGAAAATACTTAATTGTATTGGTAGGTGTAAATGTGTAATACTAATATACTATGATAAAAATATGCTATAACAAATTAAATAAGTACACACGGCAGGATTTTCCTAATGATTATTTATCTTACCTTATATAAATATATAAAAAAAAATTATATCTGATAGAATTTGTTCTTTTTGTCTTATTTAATGTGTTTTAATATGAATATGAATTATTTATATTTACAATTCTGTTTGGTGTGAGGTCTGAATTTTTATGATCTTGTCTGCTTTTTATTTATGTTTTGACTCATTATATTGTGTAATTATATGCCCTGTTTGATTTCATTTTAACAAGATTTAGAAATCAATGATGAGGATTGTTGAATTGACTACCTTAATATTTTGATGATTGACTTACGTAAAACAAACTCTGACTAATGATGTTTATGAGTCTTGGTTGAACAGAAAGATTCAGGTACACAAATACATGTTCCGAAGTAGGAACAACAGAGTTTGGAAGACTTGATGATGAATGCAAGCTTTCAAGATGTCCTCACAACTCTATATACTTAGTTACTCAGTGTACGAGCTTAAGAAACAAAAGTGTTGGAAGGAATTAAGAAGAAACTCGAAATTCCTGAAGGAACCTGAAGTTCCCGAAAGAACTTGACGATTGACTCAGAAAGTTTTAAACGAAAGTTTTAAAGCAGTTTTCATATCCCTTAATTTAAGGAAGTGATAAAAATCAGTTTTGAAAAAGATTTAAAAAGATTTTATAAATAAATAAATAATTCATTAATTTAAAAATATAAGTTTTAAATTAATTAATTATTTATCTTTTAATTAATAAATAAATAATTATCTTTTTTTAATAAATAATAATTATCTTTTGAATAAGTCTTTAACTGATTTTTAACTTGATAAATATTGGCTGCTTAAATTAAGGAGCACGTTGAATTTAGGAGTCAAGCTAGGGAAATCATGTTCCTAAATTTCCTCTGCCTACATCCCAACTTCTCAGTCAAAGAGAACGTGGGATTAAGGGGGAAGTGGGAACTTGATGGAAGCTTGGTTTAACTCCTTATAAAAACAGATCAACGTTAAGTTTTGAAAGCGTGGAAAAACAATCTTAAGTATTCTGAGCATAGAGTTTCAAAGTGTTTCAAAGAGAAGTTCCTTCCATCCTTAGTCTCTTAAGTTCTTTAGGAAATATTTGTAATCATTGTGTAATTGGGATTGGGTTGTGAGAGTTGTAAAGTGTGAGACTTGAGAGAGTTGTTTACACTGTACAAGTGATTCGGAGTAGAATCACAAAGTGTGAGAAACTGTGATTGAGGGATCACAGTTGGGTAACTTGAGTTCCTCACGGAACTTGAGTCTAGGCAACGTATTAGTGATTGTAAATCATTTTTACATAGTGAATTTATTCATTGCCTATCTCAATGTCTTTTCTCTTAGTAGTAGATTTAATTCCGCAAAATTTACCATAGTCTACATACACTACAATTCACCCCCCCTCTTGTAGTATACATTGTTCTATCACGGATACGCCAAGATGAATTGAACAATGTTTATGGATGTAAATTGAGTTAATTACTAGATCATCTACAAGTAGTTGGGTAGTTTATAGTTGATTAATTAATTACTCACGTTGTCAAAAGGGTAATGACGATCAAGTAATTTGATTGTCATGGCTAAGTTGGGTCTAAGTCATATGTAAGTTCATTTCGTGTCAATTTAGCTTATGATGGTAATGCCCATGCGATGTATTAAACGCTGCAGGCTCATGTCAAGTTGAGTTAGTTCATCTATTTAAAATGTGATTTTAGGTTGATTAGGAGTCATGTATGTTTTTTTCAAGGTATGTATATTTTATGTTAAGATTGTAGTAACTAGTAAGAATAAGAACAAATAATTAGGATAGATTCAATCCATAGATGTATAGTCATTAATCAAATCAGATGATAATTTAGTATACTCCATAACACAATCAAAATAGAAATGTGTTTCAAAATAGAAAAAGTCTATAAAATTAAAGATACACGACGTATTTGTAAAAAGGAAAGATATGCGAAGTATAAAATATTATTCACCCTTATTATTAATAGTTTTCATTTAGTATTATCCTTTATACTATTTAATAAGTTTATGTCCACACACTACATACAATGAAAGATTTTTAATTTAGCAAGGAAATACAAACGAAAAAAAGTCAATATTTAACCAATTAAAACGTCATCCTATGCGTAAGAGTGAGAAATAAAATAAAATAAAATAAATAGTCTTAAATAGAAGAAAAAAAAAAAACAAAATAAAAATAGGAGAGTTTCGTCTACATTTCGTCAAAAAGGAAGTTGACTCATTCTTTCTTCAAAGAAATACCACCGCCCCGTGGGATACGGCGCCTTCCACGTGACGGTATTCAACTGTCTTCTTCACTACTCCAAACACGACCTTATTACTCACCTTAGCTTCTTACTACTTCGTATTATTATACCTACTAGTATTTCTGTACTTGCTTCTTTATGTATAGACGTATAGTACACTTTTATCAAGAAAGATATCGGATAGTACACATTTATTGTTGAAAGTTGAAACCTATTGTATATCAAATAAACACTTGTGACTTTGTGAGTATTCCACATTAGAAAAAAGAAGAAATGATTTCACACTTTTACTTTATAAACTTTCACTTTATAAGGTAAAAGAGTTATTCTTACTACCACTAATTGATTTTAGTATAGATCTTTTTGTATCTTATGGACCAACGTTTCTCCTTTTTATCAGAGTAAATTGAATAGATTCAATGTTAGTAAATTGAATAGTTTCAATGTTTGGGTGATGAGAAGATCTTATGTTTAATTTCGTACGTAGTTATAAAAATGCGAATTTTTTATATTTGAAATAAAAGGGTATATAATTACAAATTAATAACTTTTTATTTGATTATTTCATTTTCATCTTATAGATTGATGTATAAATAGAATCAAAGTTTAGTCAAATTTAAAAGTCGAATCAGACAATTAGGTGAAACTAAACATAGTCTAAATCTAATTACAAGAATCGATAATCTTGGTTAATTGAGGTTCCAAATGTAACCTCAAGGGTTCAAGTGTCTAAACTCTGACACTACTCATAGACCAAAAAAATTGTAAAGGTTGATATTTTAATTTAAAATTTTCTTTTAACTCTAAAAACCAAATGTAGCCACATAAGGTAGGTGGAGACCTAACCCTCATGCACAACTCCAAATCTCAATTACAACCTAATTCCCAGAAAAAAAAAAAAAAAAAAAAAAAAAAAAAAAAAAAAAAAAAAAAACTTTCTTTTATTATCGTTCCTCTCTTATCAATTTGCAAAAGTAGTAATTAAACTCCATCAATAATTTTTGCTATCGCAGGGATTTAAGCTCATTAACTCAATTTACATTAGTTTCAACTCAAAATATGATTTAATATGTAATTTTGATTATAATGCATACAATATTTATAAGTATCACATAATTTATTACAAAATCATAAGTTAATTAATATTATTTTTGATACGAGTAATTACTTAATATTTACTGCAATTAAGGCCAGATTTATCAATTTTCATTAAATTAACTTGTAATAAATAATGTCTTAGAAATAATACTACGTATTGTTTTTTACAAGTTATTTAAGAGTTCTAAAAGAATATATATATATAAGAAAATGTAACATTTACGATCAAGTTTAACAACCATACGCGTTTCTGGTCGTAAAAAATAAGCAATTACGATCAAATTCTTAAAATAGTCGTAAATAACTTAAATCAGTTGCGACGAGATGAGAATCTCCTCGTAAAAGACGAATTCCTGTCGTAAAACATAAAAATCTTAAATCTTTTGCTGAAAACAAAAGTGGGAATTTCCCGGTTTGCAACTTAGTAAAAATTTAAACCTACCTATTCATTTCCATTCATTTATGATACTTGTCCTTATCTTTCAATAGACCAAAAAAATCCATTGTTCTTCTATACTCTCTCCTTCGACTAATTTAGGCTGAAATTTTTTCTTAAAAGCTAACAATTAATAGAAAATTTGGTGGTTAAGTTTACTTTCTCCTTTTGTAAAAACTTTTGTCTTGAATTTTACTATTTTCATGTCTAAATTAGTTAGCATATAACCATCTACCAATGGCGTTGTGGCAGTGGTTTGGATCTTTTTTCTCTTTCTCCTTCCATCGATCTCTATATGTTCTACTTCTTTTTTCTTTTGTTGATTTCGTTCAGATATATAAAGATTTTCACATTCACTTTCTTCTACTTTTTATCAGTTTTTGTTTTGCACACTATGTGTTTGTTGAAATGCTTGTGTAATTTTTTTTTTTTTTTATTTTATTTTAATATTTGGTCTTTGAAATCTTGTTCATTTTATTTTTAAGTGCTTTTTAAATGATTCTTAGTTCAGTTTATGGCAGTAATGTACAATGTTATGAATTTACTAACTTATACCTTTGTATGAATGCAGGTATTTTATGAAAACAATTGAAAGTTGTTGAAGGCTCATTATGCAGATTTAATTGTATATTTCCAATGTTCATGTATTGTATTGTATAGAAAAATTATATATATATATATATATATATATATATATATATATATATATATATATATATTAACTTTTGTAATCAGCAAGTATTATATATGAATGAAATTGATAGGTCTTTATTTAGTGTTAAAATAGTCAACAATTTCATAATGTTTTGATTGTATTGTAGAAGATGTTAAAGAATTTTGTAATATTAACTTATAGATTTAGGCACTATGAAAAAAATGCAACAATAAATTGTGGCTTAATTTGTAAATGTAAAGATTACAACGAGATATTTGTATGTGAATGTAATTTCGATTAATTGAATAATTAGGAATTACAACGAGGATTTTGGTCGCAATTGTGTTAATTAACGACCCGTTTTTAGACTGGTCGTAAAAACATATTTATGATGACTCATTTAAACAGGTCATAAAATTATTTACGACAAAGCCTTTTGCGACGAGGGACAACCATACGCGTTTCTCGTCGTAAAAGACCTTTTACGACCAAAACCGGGCTTTTTACGACCTAAAATCTCGTTGTAGATG